ACACACACACACACATTATTAATACACATTTTCAATGAAAATAAAGTGTCCTAAATTAAATTGTTGTTGTTGTTGGTGATCAATATCTCCAACAACAAATGCTATTGGTTTGTGATATAATCATCAAATACAAGCAAAACAAACAAACAAAAATGTTATGATGGTAACCAAGTGTTGGCAAAATATAATCTGATTTTCAATTTTGGTTGGATAAGACAACCGACAACAACAAAAAACTTTGTAACTGAAATTTTATGTTTTCTTTTCTTTTCTTAATCTCATGTTCTTTGTAATAATAGAAAGTATCCAAAATGGATGCATATATGCAATATTTACATATTGAAAATGAAAAACAACAAAGAAAAACGATAATACCATCCCCATTCATAGTGCATAAGACAATTTTTCAGTTTGAAAAATTTGATGATGATGTTTATAGGAAAACAAGCAAGCGCACGTGTGTGTTTTGTTTGTTTATAGTGTGAGAGAAAAAGATTTCAATTTTTTTAAATAAACTTCTATAAATCAATCAAAATCAAATCAAATCATTTCATTTCATATCGGTTTGATCGGTGGTAAATAAAATGAAGATTTCACAATTTTAGATACAATTTTGTTTCATTTCATTTGCTGCTGTTGTTGATCTATTTCCGATCGATCCATGCTAACCATAATTTGCATATGGTAATTTTAAAAATAAATATTTGTTTAATTTTGAAAACTTTTTCTCTTTTGACATCCATTTACAAATGAAAATGGGGGAAAAGAATTCATTACGAATTTAGAAAATTGTTTTTAAATGCTGAAACTTTTGAAACTTTTGAAAAGAAAAAATAAACAAACGTTTTCGGTATTTTTCTGTTTTTGTTTTGTTCACTAAACATTTGGCAAGAATCTCGTCCAAACCAAAAAAAAAAACAATGAAAATGGAATGGAGGGTAAACACGAAGGATGATAAAGAAAGAAATGGGAATCTTTTTCTTTCTTTTTTTGTTGAAATCTTAATTTTAAAATGAAAAAAATCCTTTTTCATCACTTATTATAATGACCTATATTATAAAGGTTGACCCGATGAATTAAGGGAAATCTTTTTTTTTTTATTTTTGTTGTTGAAAAAAATGAACTTGAAAAACATAAAGAGAGAACGGAGAACCTAATTTTAAAAATAAATTTCTTCGAAATAATGATAATCAAACAAACAAACAAACGAAGGAAAGAACCAACGAAAAGGTGCCATCAAAAATGGCCTAGGTTCAATGTTATTAACACTGTATACTACTATTCTCGCATAATAACCGGTATTATTATTATGATAATATTTTCAGGAAATAAATGAACGTTTTCTTTCTTTCTTTTTTACGAAACTGATATAAAGGTGAAAAAGATAATCTAATCATTGCTAGCAACGAAAAAAAATTGATTCAAGTAAATTCGTGATTAATTATTTTATGATAATGTATTCTGACAACAACAACACATATCATACAAAAATTTGTTGTTGCTTAACAAAAAAGAAACAAAATAGATAATGATAATCATCATCTTGATTATCAATCGAAAATATATTCTTGACCGATCGTATATCATCTATACAAGTTGAAAAAAAATCAAAATCCACTGACTATTTCGACATTTCAGACCCTCAAAAAAAAACATTCGATTCTATTTCCACACACACATTCGAATGTTTTCCAACAAAAAAAAAACATGATAATTATGATTATTGAATTGAATTTAATCAATTTGATGATGATTATGATTGACAACCGAATATCGGTACTTACCAAAGACTTATTTTTTTTCCTGAAAAAATTTAAATATTAAAAATTATGATTATTATCAAAGAATGGCTGCCATATGATGATGAACATTGATGATGATGGACACCCACATTGAATCGAACGGATCACTATATAATTTTATCGATCAAAATATAATGATGGTAGGTATTTGTTGGTGTTTTTTCTTTCTTCCAAACAATTCCAATCAATCAATCAATCAAATGAATATTTTTAAAGAAAAATTATTTAAAAAAAAAATCACTGGATTCACCACACAAAGATGCTCGAATGAAAAAAAAGGTAACAAACTTGTTTCATTCAACTGAAAAAAAGCGATGACTTCACGAACAGCGAAAAAATGACAAGACGAAAATCAATCAATCAATCAATCGTAATCAAAATGAAATGAAATGAACGGCAAAAAAAACAAACAAACAAACAGACAAAATATCAATATGAACAAAACAACAAAATTAGATCATCATCATTCGGGTAATAATTAATGTATGGTATGCTGAAGGGTTGATTCGAACAAATTCGATTTCGGGTGGTGTCCGAATCAATGTATGTTTTGTACATCGAATATTGATACTTTTTTTTCTCCGAAAAAAAATCAATAATAAACACTTAGAACGCACCAGGTGTATTCGAATTTTAACTCAACTAAAATTGATCAATTGGCAATGTTATTCGTCTTCATCGTTTTTTGTTTATAAAAGATTTTCTCTTTCTTTATTTTGAAAATTTCATCAATTTTTTTTTCTCCTGGAACATCTGTAATGTGAAAATCATGATTTTTCCGTTCGTTTCGTTTCATTTACACATTTACAAAAACAAACTATTTTTGGAACGTTTTTTATAAAAGAAATGATAACCCTGTGATGTTGTTGGTCATATACACACACAATCGTTGAATCAAAAAGTGGTCAAGATGAACCGTTTTGTTTTCATTTTTTCAGTTTTGTTTGTTCAAAAGAAAAATATAGAGCAACAAAACTTTGTGTGAGGGAAAAAGATTCAAATAAATTTTGCAGCTGCTTTTATTTACGGATATTTTGGAAACAAAAACCACACTTACTGTTTTTTTTTTGTATGTTGGTTTGGCTGGTCGATATTAATATTTTCTATTCTTTCGTTGTTGTTGTTGTTGTTTTTCGTTGTCGTCAATATTTTGGATTTGTTGTTTTATTTCGGATTGTTGCTACAGTAGGGTCATCATTAATTTACTGAGCATTTTGTTTTTGTTTTTGTTTTGTTGATAAACAATCTATGTTGAAACACAAAAAAAACGCATGCCACAATTATAAAACGACACAGACGATATAAAAATGATGTATCATCGGATATTACTGATCTCAGGTTGGTTTTGGTTGACTGGCTGGCTGGATATTGTCATCAAGATTCGAATTTGAAAAAAAAAATCATCGAAGTATCAAAATATATAACACAAAGATACTACTCTTTGTGGGGATATCAATGGACAAACATTTCATTTACCATGGTGAATTGCTCAATGTGTTTGACGGATAAATATATAAGGCGGCAAAAACTGGATTGTTATAATATAATATCCCGATCCGAAAAAAACATCAAACACAAATGATAACCAGAAATCATAGAATTGAAATACAAAAAAAAAATCCAAAAAATGGTAGTGGCAATGATGCTATTTGGATATATATAGATGCTACTAGCATCCCGGATGAGAATCTTCTTAGTGATCTTTCTTTTGTCGATGATGATGATGATGATGATGATAAAAGGTAGAAGCATTTGTTTGTACGTTGTTGGTTTTTCATACCCGCCCGACTACACTCCACACACCTTCATTGTTAATTTGGCTACACCTTTTTGGTTTTTATCTCATTTTAAAACTACACATGCGTAAATCGAACGAAAAAGTGTTCTATTTTTTTTTTAATATTTGAAAAACATCACACCCATTCCATATAAAACAAAAAGTTCTTTTTGGTGTTCGAATTTCAAATGTCAATAATAAAAAAAAATTACAAAAAAAGAATGCTTTTTGATAAATAATTAATTATTGTTTTAATCAACAAATTTTAATTATGAAAAAAATATTCTCAGTTTTTACAAAAATGATGCAATTGATGAGTCATGAATGATGGTGTAGGTGTTTATTGACGCCTTTTGGATGTTTAAAGAAATATTTCTTTACTTATCAATTCTTAAGTTTGTTTGTTTGTTTGTTGAATCATCATCAACTAATCTTCTATAATTTAGTGGCATTGAAAAATGATGATGATGATGATTAAACGGATGTGCATAACATTATCATCGACATTACAGATCGTTGCAATAAATATAAAAAAAAAACAAATTCCATGCCAAATCTAAATGAAATAAAAAAATTGACACTAATCATTGAAATGATGAACGAAAAATAAAAAACAAAACAAAACATCCAATTCTAATAAATGGATGTTTTTTTTATGGAATTTTTCTCAAGATAATCTCTTGTTAACCTGAAAATATCTGCTTTTTTTTGATAAAAAATCCCTTGGAATCTTGAGTTTTTTTTATTTTCCTCAAGATATAATTATCTATCGGAAATCCAATACTGCTAATCAAAGATTATTTTAAACGGATTAATCTTTTGAATGATAAGGAAAAGATTGAAATACAAGAAAACAAAAAAAAATCGATCAATTAATCAATCGAGATTTATTTTTTGAAAATTAAACAAATAGCCATTAATTTCCTCCGATATCGATACAATCGATTTAAAAAATTTCGATACAATCGAATTTTTGTTTTACCGAACAAACAAACAAAAAATCGAATATTTTTGAAAATAATTTAATTTTTTTTTGTTTTCAAACAATTTCATTTTGTCGATTCATATCATAATTCTGATGTTTGGTTGCGTTTGTTTTTTTGTTCTTGTTCATTAAAGATTTGTGCATGCATTGAATTGAATTTTAAGTGATTTTTAAGAATTTGTTGTTGTTCTTGTTATTGAAGACATTGATTGAAAAAGAAATGAAAATGACCAAAACATTGAAAGAAAGAAAGAGAGAAAAAATCCAATAATTGTGATAAAATATAGAGAAAAAATTATCGTCATTTTGCAAATTAGATCATCAAATAAAGAAAATATATTGAAATGACGACATCAAGAAAGAAAAATAAAGAATGGAAAATAATTACAAAAAATAAAATAAAATAATAATTCACACTAACAGCTTCTTTTTTTTCTGTAACAACAATGAATAAATAAATTTCGATTTATCGTGATGATTTTGAATGATTAATCAACCATTGTAAAGTGATATCTGTGGATGGATTAATTAAAAAATAATAATTATTAAATTTGCTATATTTTTAATCATTCTTACCGATATTAGTTTTATCTTTACAGGATATTGAATAGCAACAAATTTCACGATCTGGAATCGATCCAAGATCCCTATAAATAAATAAATAAATCGATGTAAAAGGAAAAATTTAAAATATTCATTTTCTTCAACAAACAACATACATTTCATCAATCAATTGTTTTTCATCCAATGCACCAGGTAAATCTTTTTTATTGCCAAGTACTAGAACAGGAATACCTTCCAATTGTGGTTTTGATAATAATCCATGTAATTCAGTTTTCGATGCTTCAATTTTACTATGATCGGCAGCATCAACCATATAACTTTTAAAAAAAAGAAAATATTTTCCAAAATTTAAAAGTTTAATGAAATAAATAATTGTAACTTACATTATTGCCTGTACACCACGACAATATTTTTCCCACATTGAACGAAATCTTGGCTGTCCACCAATATCCCAGATTTTAATTGAAACATTTCCTTTGGTAACTTTTCTCATATTAAATCCAACTGTTGGTATCATATCTTCGGAAAATTGACCAGACTTTTTGGTTGGAATGAGAATTGAAAAAAAAACAAAAACATCATTAAAATTCTATCAAAGTTTTTTTTGTTTGTTTGTTGTGTTTTACATACAGCAATTACACTAACAAATGTTGTTTTGCCCGAATATTGTAGGCCGACTAGTGTTAATTCAAGCTCTTCTTTCCAGAATAGGCTACGAAGCCAATCAAGAAAACGTTGAAATATGGCAAACATTCTGTGCTGTTTTGTTGTTTGTTAATGACAATGTTAATGATAACGATGTTGTTTCTTTAATTTTTGATCTTTTCTTCCAAGATAAATGTGATGACAACTAGATCAATTTGGCGGGTTGATTTTATTCGGGAGCCAGCAAGCAAGCAAAGAAACACCAAAACACGAAATATTTATGAAATGGGCGTATTTCTATTCTGAAGGAAAATTAGATTGTTTTTTTTCAAATAAAAATGAAATTTAACACCACACTTACATGAGACAACGAAAAAAATTGGAAAAGATTAACTAAAATTGGAACGTTTAATTCTAAAAAATGGAATTCTAATCGTATTTGAATGATAACCGTAAATTAAAACAGATGTTTTGTTTTTGTAATTGAAATTTCGTTGATTCGGTTTGTGTGTGAGCAACAAAACAAACAAATAATGTTGAAAGAATCTGTTAAATTCCTTGAACTTTAGTTAAATAATTCTTAATTAAAATTCAAAGAACGAAAATTTTTGTTTTTGGCAAACATCTGTCAATCTTGTTGGATCATAAAGAGTTTATCAAAATATCAAGCTTAAAATGATAAAAAATAAATATAAATAAAAAAAAATTGGGAGAGAGAAAAATATCCAAAAAGAAATTGGAGCTTTTCACAAACGACGACTATGAATTGATTTTCTCTTTCAAAAAAATTTAAAAAAAGATTTTTACATTGTAAAAGACATTACAACTAGTTTTGTTTTTTTTTCTAAATTTCTTTTCGTTTTCTCTTTTCTCAAAGATGTTATTGATGATGATGATGATGATCAATGACAAACAACAATTATTGTTGTCTGATTGTTGTTGCTGTTGTTTTTGTTTACCGGTTACGTTTTCTCTTCTCATATAATCATCGCTCATTGATTTATATGGTGAATTTGCTGTTTTTTCTTTCGTTGAAAGAATAATTTCATAATTTATCCGAAGATCAACAAACAAAATCATGAATCGAATAAGAAAAAGGTAAGATCTATTTGGTTTTTGGGTAATAATAGTTTTCTTTTTGTTTGTTTTATTTCAAATTCTTAAATTTTTCAAAAAAAAAATCGACCAACATTTTTGGTTTTCGGAATTTTTTTCCTCAATTCATTGAATGTTGTTGATGATAAATCGATTCATTTTAATGATCATCATTTGTTTGTTTGTTTTTATTGATGAGTACACGTGTAACCTTGATTCTAATTATTCAATTTGAATCTTTTTCTTTTTATTTTTGAATTTAATTAAAAAAATTTCGTAATTTTGTAAATAACATCCGTCTGCTGTCGCCACCTGGTGATGGCTGGCGAAAACTTTATTTTATTCAAAAAATTCAAATAAAAAAAAGTTTTTCAAATAAAAAATTCATCAAATCATTCGATCAATCAATCAATTGATCGATTAATGACCATCATTCAATATTATTATCATTATAATCAATCAGATGAGCAGATGTTCAAATACAAAAATGATCCATGAAATGTTTGTGTGTTTATTTCAATTGATTTTTCAAATATCATTGACCTTTGATCTTTTTTCGCTTGTCCGAATCATATGTTGAGATGTGTTTGTTGTTGTTGTTGTTTTTATCTGTCCATTACAACAACAAGCGAGAACTCAGAATATGTGTGTGTATTATGATGATAATGGATAAAATCAATTTTCCACAATAAACCCTATCCTATTCATATAATTCAGCTGTCCATGTTTTATGGTCCGGAAAAATTTTCCCCGGAAATTCATTGATGAATTATTGTTGTTGCTGTTGACGAAAAATTTACCAAAAAGAAAAAAAAAATATTCCATTTTTTTATTATCAACCATGGTAACCATCTTTTTGGGTTGGTTTTTTTTCTACCTGTCGTTCTTTATTCCCCTCAAAACCTAATGGATCCAAAGAATATCACAGGAAACAATATCATTTATGGTTTTGGTTTTTCATTGTACCAGAATTATACAAAAAAAACACCCGGAATTCTTTAATGATACCAACAACAACAAAAAAGTTCAATGAATTTTCAGTGTTTCTTTTTGATCAATTCGTGAAAATTTGATAACAAGGAAAAAAAATTTGTCACTTTGTCAGGTTGTTGGCCTTTGAATGGAACATAGTCTAAGTATTCGTGTTTCTCATTTCCTATTCCACGATGGTTTTATGGAAATTTTCTTTTGCAAAAAAGAAAAGAAAAATCAATTTCATTTTGCTAACAGAAAAATGTCCAAAAATGGATAACAACCAAAATCCCCAAAGATGATAATCCAATTTTTCCTAAGTGAAAAGAAAAATAAGATTTTTGTTTTGTTTTTTGTTTTTCAAGCTCCCGGAACACTAAACGATTTACTTTGTTGTTGTTGTCAATGTTTGATGTTGTCGTGATGATAATGATGATGATGATGATGATGACAATTACATTGATATCAATGATAATATCATCATCATCAAAAACATGGCAACTTAATATCATTTCCTGGTTTTATTTTGCTACTACCACCGTCACCATTGATGATTATCATTGTTTTTTTCTGTTTTGTTTCTGAATTATCATCATTATTATTAGGTAATTTTGTTCGAGCCAAAGTCCATAAAATTCCAATGTTTTTTTTTTCACTGGCCATTCATTCATGATTTTGATTTTTGTTTTTTGTTTTTTTTTCATTGACAATCTAATATCTGCAATGATAATGCAGTGGTGTAAATTTTTTTTGTTTATCGGATATTATTATCGGGAAGTGGTTTACATTTATGATAATCTTGCTATGTGGGTGGTTGATGTATGTAATGATAGTGAGAATTTCTCTTTCAAATAACTGGTTAGTATGATAAGGGGTACAATAAATGAAAGAGATGAATGGCGCCAATCCGTTTATTATTCAATCGAAAATGCGACGGCGCCATCATTATCATTTTGGGTTTTTTTTTCTCGGTTAGAATTGGATTGTGTATGTGTGTGTGTGTGTGGATCCATATCAAGTTTTTTTCCTCTACCCCATTTGTTTTGTTCTGTTTGGTTTGGTTAGTTGGTTGGGTTATTTCACACCCAGATATTTCGGTTCAATAACCGTTGTATGAACATTTGGTATGATATATTGTATGTGTGAGGATTTTTTTTTTGATACGTTCTTTGACTTTTTATTGTTTTTTTTCTCTCATAAATTCCGAGATCAATGATTCCGATGTTTGTTTGTCTATGATGATGATGATGATGATGATGGCGTTGTAAATTGGATACCAGAATTCTTTTTGGTTATACCCGATATTCATTGTAATTGAATCCTGGAATCTTGATTGATTCAATCAAAAGAAATTGATTCGAAAAACAAGAATTTTTGAATAAACATGCAAAAAAACCAAACATGTCATGAAATCAATGACCGCATATCATTATAACATGACGATGGTGGTGTAGGTGTTGAAAATTAATTAAATTCTTCAAAAAAAAAAGAAAACAATGTAAATTATTATTATTATTTTTGGAAGACCAATAACCCCTTTAGCGTTTCATTATTCATTCACAGCGGGACCATGGTAAATTACAAAATATCAAAATATTTCTTGATTGTTTCGATGAAAGTTTTTCGTTTTTTTTTGTTTTGTTTTGTTTCAATTGACAATACCTATACAGAAAGAATTTTGGGAATTTTATTCAATATTTTTTTTCAAATTTTTTTTTTCGCCCCAAAACAAAATAGGTTATTGATCGATGATAATGATGTTAATAATAATGATGATGATTCAATCGACAAACTTTTAAAACAATCACCATCATCAAATCGACGAATAAAATTAAAAACAACAACAACAACAACCGCAACGATAACATCAAAAAATTTATCATCAACAGAATGTACAATAATTTTAGGATTATTATATTTTATACAAGGATTTCCATATGGTTTTCAAGATAAACTTATACCATTATTATTGATTATAAAAGGACATTCACCATCAACAATTGGTTTTATACGTTTATTATTATTACCATGGTTAACAAAGGCATTATTTGCACCATTAATCGATATGGTATATTATTATTATTATTTTCAACCCTTTTTTTCTGTCGTTGTTTGTTTGTTTCGTTACTCCTTTTCCCCTTATTTACAAATTATTAAATTCATAATTTCCATAAAATTCAGGGTTTGGTTTTTTTCAGAAGCGCGTAGGTAGAAAAAAAAAACATAGCAAGATAGAAAAATGGAGAAAGCCAATGACCAATGATCAGATTCAGTCAACATTTTCAGGATCGAGCAAATTTCCCACTCATTTTTACTCCAGAATTTTTTTTAAAGATGCTAAATTTAGCCACCATTATTATGAATTTTTTTTTTCAATAAAATTTCTATTCAATTTTTTTTCTGATTGATTTTTTCATTTGCTACTTGCACAATAGTCAATAGAAAATGGATAAGGTCAATGTCTTTGATGTTGTTTTTTTTCTTCATTTTTCAATTTGAAAAAAAATGTTTAAATTTCAATTTTTTCTGGAATTTATCAATAACATTTTCTTTTCTTTTTTTTGTGCATGATTCAAAATTGATAGACATTGTCGATGACAAAATGGATTCAAATCAGTTTATTTGGTTTGATAATGATTTCAGCTTATAATACAATTTTCCCAGATACAACCGTTAATGATGATAGTAATGGTGAAATTACCTGGCAATTTATTATTGCATTATTTTTGTTGAATTTTTTCTCTGCATTTCAGGTTTGTTTAATGTTTGATGTGTTTTTTTTATTTAATTTTCCTATTTGAATTTGTAATTAAAAAACAAATTACAAAACGAAAACGAAAAAATCAAAAGGATATTGCCGTAGATGCTATAGCCGTAACAATATATTCAAAACATCGTGATATAATGACAGGAAATGCTGGACAAATTGTTGGCTATAAATTAGGTGCATTTTTCGGTAGCGGTATACTATTCTGGATTTATAATTTATTCAATTGGAATGGTTTGTTTGCTGTTTTAACGATAATTTATACGATTGTATTATTCATATTTCAAACATATTCAAAACGTTTATCGATAAATTCGATCGATAATGTCGATGATAATGTTGATAATGATGATCAAATGACAGCAACAAATAAAAAGCGACGAAATCAAATGATCAAATATCGAAATCCTAAGGCAATTTCATCATTAAATGATCAACAACAAAAATCAAAGATTGACAAGGATAATCGAGAAACAACAACAACATTACCATTGATCAGTATCTATATATTTATATTTGTTTATAAATTAGGTGAATCTGGTTCAATGGCTATATATCCATTATTTTTAACAAAATTTAATACTATAACAAGTCAATCATTAGCATTTTGGAATGGTACAATTGGTATTATTTGTTCTATATTTGGATCATTATTGGCATCAAGATTATCAATATCAATGTAAGTATCAACCATCCACAAATACCATTCATTTTTTTTGTAAAAACACCAAAAAAAACTACAAAAATTCATCCAACCAAAACCATAACGCGTTTATCGATTATGATTGATTAATGAAATTTTTTTTTATTATTTCGGGTTCATCAAACCAGAAAAACACACACACACATTTTCTATTCATATTGAATGTGTGTTTATGCAATCAAACAAGCCACAAAGTCAATCAATCAATCAATCAATTTAAAAATTTCAAACTTTTGAAAAACTATGTAGATCAAATAACACAGAAAAAAAATTATGGAAAAATTTCTTTAAAATCCAACCAACCAGAAATCTTGTATACAAGATAGAGAAAGCACACACACACACCGACACCACAAACACACATAGAGATCAACACTTATCTAATCTTCGAAATGTTTAAAAAACTTTTACTCCAGTTTTTCTAATCTTCTTTTTTCTCTTTTTTTCTTCTTTGGTATTCAAATTTGATTCGATCATTGTCGATGACAATTGATTGATCAAATCAATGAACAACAACAAAAAAAAACTATAGGCTAAATAAATTGATCAAATTTCGGTTATTGCCCTTATGTTTAAAATTGATTATCATTATTATCGTTATTTCTGTTAATCATAATCATCATAATTATGGCAATGATTTTATCAAATTTTCAACAACAACTGAAACAACAACAACCGAAACAATATCATCATCATTTTTAAATTGTAAGTATTTATCAATCATTGAGAATGTATCGTATCAACGAGATTAGGAAGAAGTAAATAAAGATTTTCATGTTGGAATTGGATATCTGAAATGAATATTATCAGTAAAAAATGATGATAATGCGATTCGTTTTGGTAGTTTGTACAATGTTGACATACATTCATCGTATGAATTTCATACGATTTTTTAAAAAAATGACAGAATTCAATCGAAAAAATCATTGAAATTTTGTATCCAATGACCATTTCCAATTGAATCAATCGATTTCATTTAATTTTTTTAATTTTATTTTTCTATTCACTTTTACAGTTGTAAGCATTATATCAATGCTATTGTTACATTTTATTGGTGGATTAATCACAACCATGACCTTCACCTTGATGATGATTACTTGTCAACAACAACAACAACAGCAAATGTCACGAAAATCATCATCATCATTACGTGCAACACATTATACATTAATGTCAACAATTGAAGTTTTTGGTAAACTTTTATTATCATCATTATCCGGTTTGATTGTTGATAATATTGGCTTTATTGGTGCACAATCATTATTTATTTTGTTGGCAATTTTACCATGTACAATTCTTCATTATCATCATCATCATGGAACAAAATAGAAGATTCTCGCTCTCTCTCTCCCTCAATGAATTGAATTATCATTGAAAGATAATGATTAATCATTGAAGTACATTGAGAAAATATTTACTATTCAAACAAACTAACAGTCAAGCTTTCTTCTCGAATCATTTTCGGTCATCAAACAATAATGTGTTTCAAATTTTCTAAACAAACAAAAAAAATTCATTTTATTATTGACTTTTCGTTGCCTTTTGTGTTATTATCTGGAATGTGAAAAAAAATCTCAAACGATTTTATGAGATAATCAAATTGAATTATCAATTCTGTCAATATGGTTATTTTTTTTGACATTTTGAAGAAAAATGTTTGTTGTTGTTTTAATCAAGTTTTTATTTGATTTTTTTTTACTTTTTTAAAAATATCTATTTATTGTTAACTTTTTGTTTCAAAGAAAAATTTTTTTATCATTAAAAATGTTTGAAATAAATGAAATAAATTTCAACTTAAGGGTAACCAATTTTTCGTGGATTTTTTTTTTGTGGATCAATAGGTCAATAATCATCAAAATTAAGGTTTTTTCGTTTTGTTTTGTTTTGTCTTCAATCATTTTTTTTTGTTGTAAATCGTTAATCGATTTATGATCCAAATATCAAATGATCAAATAATGATCTGGATCCGTTCAATGATGATTAATACAATTGGATTTATAATTGAGAACAAAACTAATTATTATTATTATCAGCGTTTTGTTTCTTCTATTTACTTTACTTTAATGTTTAATGTTTGTACTCGTGGTTAAATGAAAAAAAAAATTGTCTGGATCATTTCGAAAAAAATAATTTCAACACTTAATTATCCAGGTGCAAACGATTTAATCGATTTAATTTGACATTTTCAAAAAAAATTCCGAAAAGATCTTCGTTGACATTTAAAACCATCAGATGATTCAAATTTCCGGATAAGAAATTAACGAAGAAAAAAAACGTTGCGAAACAGAAATAATTCGGCTAGTTTTTTGTTTAGTTTTTGTTTCACCTTGAGCCAAAAAAAAACAGGAAAGAAAAACAAATTCCAACATTGTCGCCGGTTTACAAAATATATGATCAACAACAAGATCATATGATGATGTTTTTTGGTCGTTTAATTCTTGTGATCTATTTAATAACCGAAACAAAAAAAAAATTGTTGACATTCAAAACAAAAAAACATATCAAGGGTGTTATATATTTATTTTTTTTTTGTTCCACTGTATCATCATCATTATCATTGATGGATCATCATGTCAAAAACATATTCATTCATTCATCTAATTAGCTTTTTTTCTAGTTAATGAATGAAAACTTTTTTCCCCTTATCGATTGTTTTAATTTTTCTGGTGATGAACTTTTTGGTTCCGAATCTATATCAATGGATATTGCTGTAGTGCCAAAATGTTTATCATTATTCAATTTTGATACATTTGAAATGTGGATCAACGGTTGCTTTAATTTGATTAATGATAGTTGTGTTGATCTGAAAAAAAACAAATTCAAAACATGAAAAAAACGAAATATTATTATTAATCTGACAATCCCACACCTACATACGACTGCACTTGGATCATTAGATTATTTAGTTTTGATTTTTTTTTTTGAATGATGGTAATAAGGATGATGATGATTTGAATGATAAATAATCACAAAAAGTCATTTGTTTGTTTGTTTGTTTTTTGGAATAACGGGGTATTCATCATCATCATCATTAATAAAAAGAATGTTATCTTGTTTTTAAGAGTGTGTGTGTGGGTGTGGGTGTGTGGGTGTTTTTCGTTTATCCATCACCTGATGATGATGATGATAATCAGCATTTGTTGTTGTTTGATTACGTTCGTTGTTGTCTGCTGTTGATGGCGATATACACAAGCAAACAAATCAAAATTCTTTTGAAATTTGGTTGTTTTTCATAATCAGGTTGTTTTTTTTTGTTTTTTTTTTGTTGACCCAATGATCTAAGAATATGAATGAATGAATAATTTATAATAATGTTTCATCTTTAGAGATTTATTCCGGAAATAACCGAGAGATAGAAAAAAAGTAGAGGTAGTAAACATAAAAATGTGATGAAAAGTTTTTTTTTTTTTTGGTTTGGTTCAAATTGATGTTTCAGATTGGCTAAACTGATGTATTTGGATTCATTTAAAAATTAATGAATTTGAAAACAGAAAACAAAAAAAGATTTTAATAATAAATTCTTGAATTTTTTTATAATTAAAAACCAAAACAAAAGTAGGTTTCAATGTCTTTTAATCAGCAATCTATCTATATTCAGAACGTATTTGTTAATTCAGTGTCTCTTTTTATAATTTTGATCCAAAAATATATAAAATCCATAATGTCGAAATACTTTTTGAAGTGTTTTTTGTTTTTGGATATTCTCATATCTATATAGAAGAAGATAATGTCCATGGCCCGAATAATTTTTTTTCCTCATCCACTATCAATTTCTGGTGTTTCCCATGTGTGTAATACCAGAAAAAAAAATTGTTCAAGTGTCGATGTTCCAAATTTAATCTAATGGCCCTTATGATACGCGATCACAACATAATGAAAACAAAACACGGATATTCAAAGACCTAAATATAATGATGATGATCTCATATAACTAAGATTATGATAGAAAATTTTTTCTTCGTCTTCTTCTTCTTCTTCATTGTCAAATGATGATGACGACAATGATAATGATAGAATAAGAAAAGGTGACCTAACTTTTTTTTTAGACACTTCCAACGTGTTCACTCATCATCATCATCATCATCATCATCATCAATATCATCATCATTATTAAACATGGTAGAGAATTTCTCTCAGTATCTTGTATTGCAATTTTTTTTTTGGTTTTGTTTTTCTAGGTGAAAAACACAAGCGCATTGAATAATAATAATTGAATAAGAGACTATGAGCTATCTATGCTGTCTATATGTACGATCCAGGAATTGGGTTATATCAAAAAAAAAAATCATCATCATCCTCGATTCGACCAGAAAACCGTATGAAATGAAATGAATTGAACAAACTTGCTCCATTGAATATAACGGTTAGTATTTTTCTTCTTCTTCATTTTTTTTCGGTTTTCTTGTCATGTTCATCATCATCTTTTTCGGTTGGCCTATTTTTTTTTCTTTCTTCATTTGCTCTCTATTCTCTCTCTCTCTTTCCCTCTAACACACACGCACTCTACATTCTCTTTTCATGTATGTAATTCGACAAAGAAGAAGAAAAAAAAAGTGTTGACGATTCTCATGTGGTGTTTAGGTCGAATGATTGGTATCATTCGCCAACACACATAATATTATTGTTGTTGTTGTTAGTAGTAGTGATTGTCGCAAAATTTCTTCCCCCCTTATACTGAATGAAGAAAATTACATAACAAGACATGTCCTTATAATAATAATAATGTTGGCCATCGACCGACAATCGACAGTCCTTGATCGATATTCATATTATAGATTCATTCATTCATTCATCAATTTGAAATTTTTTTTTTCATCTAATTAAATTCATTATAAATCTAATCATAATCATTATTATTGTTGTATGGTTTCTTTCTCCTCCTTATTACCCTGGCCGAATTTTGACCGAAATAACCATCAATACAAACGAAAGCACACCATTCATAAAATCATCATTTTCGAATCGAAATTTAATGACATTTTTTCGTTGGAATTTTTTGAATATTTATCTTTAATTATCTGAAAAATAAGGTTAATCATTCATTTCTGGAACGATTTTTTTTTTGTTGTTGGTGATCGAATGAATGTGTTTCAATGAGGGGGAGAAAAGGGACGGGTGGAGGACAAACATAAATTCCATAAATATTCCATAATTCGGGCATCTTTATCCCAGATTCACATTCTTAATTTTTTTTTTTTTTTTTGAAATTTTCATTCAACTTCGTAACGATCGCGCAATGCCCTGTATTCGATGGATTTAACAACAACAACAACAGATCGTTTTCTGCAATTCTGCATTCTGATCGTAACATATCTTTATGGCCGTGTCAAAGCTACCACCACCACCATCATCAACATTCTGGATGTCTTTATTTTAGAATATTCTTCTTTTTTTCCTCTAGTTTATCCTGTTTATTGAACCAACAATATGATGTTCGCGCAAATGCAGGCATCCATTGAATTTCTTTTCTTTTTTTTTTGTTGTTGGTATGAATGTTCAACTTTTTTTCTGGCATGACCTAGTTTTTCTGGGTCTCTCTTACTCTCTTTATTCGTATGTGGCTCCCGTTTTTGTCGAAACAAAAATTACCAACAAATATAAAAACGAAAAAACATAACCGAAACTAAACTAAACTAAATTAACGATGAAAATAGAAAGAATAACAGTGAGAGAGAGAAAAAACAAAACAGATGATGATACAAGTGTATCCATTGCGCCGGGTTATGAAATATAGTTTTAGTTGAACAACAACAACAACAAAATACCAGTTAGCCATTGGGTTGATTAGCCTTATAGCCATTTATTTCTGGTTAGTCATATATTCTGGTTCAATTTTTGAGTTTATTATTTTCAACCAAACAAAAAGTAACTATTACAAAGAAACAAAGCAAAACGAAAAATTTGATTCATAATATAAATGATGTAAATAAACAGAATTTTTATTATTATCGACATTATGGCTTAACGAGGATATGGATCATTCATTTCATTCATTTTTTTCAGTCAAACACAAAATACGTGATAATTTCTTTCTTTCGACGAATTTTCTGGTATATAATGGACATACACATTAAATTACCAAACAATTTAAACGAATTGAAGAAAAAACTTGTTCAAGATTTTCTTCCAAAATGAAATCATGATATTAAGACTTTTCAAGGACAAAATTGTTAGCTTTAAAAAAAATAAAATCCAATCGAAATAATTTGCTCTGTGTAAATAATGTTTGTATTTTTCTCGTTTCAATGGTTTCATTATAACTTTTGCTGTTGTTGGGTGTTTTTTTGTTTTCTCATTTACTTACTTACTTTACTCTTTGCTCGAAACCAAAAAACAAACACTGTAAATGTATAGTTTCCGGCATTTGAAATAAAAACGAAAAATGAAAATAAAAAATTTTAATCAATTTTTTTTTGTTCACCGAAATGAATTTCT